AGGAACAGGCTCTGGGCCACGTTCAGTGACAACGCATCGTCCTGGTCAGCTCTCGGTTGTTGGCCCGCGCGGATCCAAGGAGGAGGAGTTACCCACTTTACTTGGCCCAACCACCCAATTGTGGTCCTCCTCCCGCCGCTGCGGCCGGCCGGCCGGCCCGGCCATGCCTGCCTGCACCGGGCTGCAGCGGCCGAGTTATCCGCGCGCACGACAAGCAGGTCGAGGTCAAGGACGAGCATGTGTCAGCGGACCATGCGGAGGGGGGTGGTGGCGCAAGACATGCCCGTCTGTGTCGCGCCGCTTGCGCGCGGCCGGCTCCTCCTCGGCCCCCCGGAGAGATTAGGTCACAGACTCAACCATCCCCAGCGCAGCGTTCACCCGCGACATTGCCGCGGACTAGTTAAGTAGTTTACCGCGCGTCAGAGAGACAGCACAACCGTGTCGCGAGTTCGCATACCCTAAGGGCAGTGGCGCCCAGCCCCGCATGCTGTCGTCGCGTGGCTCTGACGCACAGTAGCTAGTAGCGACGGGCGGCGACGCGCGGCGAGGGATTTGCGAGGTGCAGAAAGCAACCCTATCAAGCAACTTTAATGCATAGCGAGGGAGTCGATTCTACCAAACATAATGCGACTGATTCTCTCTACTGACATTTAAACCATTAAACCAGGTGGGGAAGGAAAATTCGGCTGTCGTGTCAGGTCATCCAAAATCTCTCCTCTTACGCGAGGCGATAACGGAGCATCTCCTCGCCAACTACATACATACCCCCGACGTGTTGGGGGGCGCGGCCCCCAGCCCCGCCCCGCCCCCTCCCCCCAGCGCGACGCACCAACGGCAGCCACGCCCGGCGGCCCGGCGCGCCCACGGACCGCTCAGCATCCCACGCCCAGAGCCGCGCCCCGGGGACCGTGCCCCAGGAAGTGCAAGGCCGGAGAGACCAGCGCCGGAAATTACCCTCCATGAAGCAGAGACGCATGGCGTAGAAGCGCGCGCGTCCATGCGCATGCGCCATGCGCGCAACGAGATCGACATCCTCAAATGCATTTATTATGTTCCTGGCTGACAACTACAAAGTGGCCCATCACACGCGAACCCGTGTCTGGTCAGGAGTCGGGAGCCACAACACTGACTGCCACGCATGCAGGCGTGCGGGCCTGTCCACTGTCACACGACGGCAATTGAAGGGACTACGAGCGAGTAGGCAAACCGCCCGCACGCCTGCACGCAGTCACAGCACAGTGTGACAACACAAGAAAGGGGGCAGCCTCGACCATCATCCTGGATAGTGTTCCGGCCTGATAGCAAGCGCAAAGTTCAAAAACCCGAAATATTGAAAAGCAGGTTACAATGTGTGGCATTTCTGTATTCGGCGTGAGGGATCGACCAGAAAGTACGTCCATATCCTAGTCCAGATTTGATTCGCCCTTGGCGCCTGCGAGACTCGGGGTAGGCCACCCCGCCGTACACGCATGCACTGCAGGCAAGATGTTGCCTACCTAGCAGGCGCTATGAGAGCTTGTACTTTCAAAGGGGACTACTTTTCTGGATGATCGGCGGCTTTGCCTGGTAATCTCTCCACCCGAAAGAGGTTTTGGCACTTGGGCGGGTAGGCGAACCCGCCAACGGTCTTTTGTCTCGTCACTGCCCTGCAACGCGTCGCCACTTCCGGCAGGATGAGCCCCGCGTCTCTAGCCGCCACGCCGCGGGCCGCGCGCGACACTCGGCCGCCCTAGCGCCGACTTGTTGCTCGGCGGGGACACGACGCAG